CTCAGATATAGTCTTCTTTTTATTTCAGGATTTTCCTGACAAATATCTTCTAACTTTCTTTTCATACCATCCTTGTGTTTCTTCTGGGCAACTGCGTTTTGAATCTTCCTGTTTAAAGTATTTTTTGCTGTTTTTAGTTCCTCGCGCAACTTAATGATCTGTTTATCAACTTCAGCGCAATTTGGCATAGTATCTCTGGCAGAATACAAAGCGTTCAGATTTTTTCGAGTAGAGTAATCTTATAAATAATTAAAACGTTAAACTTTGGCTAATTGCATCAACATAAACACAAATGATAACTTTCAATGCTTACAATACGTTTAGAATCCAAACAAAACAATACTGATAGATGCGCACTTGCAGCTGGCCGGCACAAGAGCGAATTATTAGACAAGTGAATAGCGCACGGTAATTTCCCTAATGCGCGGTAATTCCCCTAATCACTTCTCAAAAGCGAGTGCCTACACATATGTATTATTTGCGGGAATCCCCGAAAAAACTTGAATAACTAACGATGACGTAATCATCATCTAGACCCCCCCACCCCCCATGTCATCCAAAATAAGCAAAACAGAGACCCCCCCACCCACTCTTGGTGCTTACGTAATACTTGAACGGCCCCCTATGAACATTGTAGGTAGGTACTTAGAAATATTATATGATAACCTTTGACAGTGCTTACGACTGTTCATATTCATAGCAATTAGGTTATTGACTTATATTTGTAGATAATTTAAATAAATTCTTACGCGTCGTAATCTGCGATGGCAGTCTGGGATAGGCAGACAAGCAAATATGTACGTATTCCACTATAAATGTATATTTACGCTAATAATATTGGAGAGATAGATAGATATTTGTTAGAATACGTGGTAGAAATAGGTAGGAAGATAGGTAATTCAATAGTTTTATTTATATACTTACCTATTTTGTCAGGTAACTGAGGCTCATTGAAATAGGTACTTACACACAATAAATACAGAGTAGATTGCCTCCTCCTCCGAAGCAGTGATGCTCGCAAAGAAGGAGGCCGTGGTATCAATCCGGTCGAGCTGACCCATGCGTGCCGAAGCACATGGCTCTTACACTTAGATCATTATTCCCAGGCACTATTGAACGTCATACACTAGATAGATTTAAACACATAAAATGTTAGTCTGTCGGTCAGTTCTCCTATTGAAGCTATTTGCTCGTTCCAAAATGTAGATTCTGATGGAGAAAAACGAGCGATAAACTCAATGGTTACGGCTACCTACTCTTTTCAATCGGTTTTACAATCAGATTCTTATGTTACATTATTAAGTCCGTTCTATTATGTGAGAACAGTGTAACACTAACATTGAGTTACAGAAACGGAATAAAAAACCTTAAGGACAACAATATATAGGTATTTTGAGATTTTCAGTTGACTAGTCACAATTGACAGCGCCAGTTCACGAACATGAAACATACCAATATAGGTACACCCTAACTCAACCATAATATTAAAAGTATTGAGAGATCCAGTGTACGTGTCACCGCCAGTGAGATCTTTGAGTGAGCTGATTCAAGTAGGTACCCACATGCTAATAATCTAATTGTAATCGTTTACAGGGCGCTCAGATTTACAAGCTTAACAGTTTTTACAATAGGTATAGGTACTAATAATTAGCAAGTAAAATTAGAAAATTAAAATAGTTCCTTTCAAGCAAGCATCGAATGAAACATTCGTGTTTTTCCTGTGTGTCCTTTAAGCATATTATCCTCAGTATAATCAAGTATCATCATTAGCTAGTACTACTGGCAATACCTATCTACGTATGTGTAAAATCCGAACTTAAAGCAGCGGCAACCTAAAAAAATACTGAAAACAGTTAAGTTTAGGGCTGGTTCGCGAAGTGGTTTTAAGTAGATAAGTGAAAGTCAAATCATTTATTTAGATAGATAATCATTCAAATAGACTAGTACCTACTATTTAAAAAATAAAAACCAAATGCAACCAAACTTCGTGTGTGGCAGCCTGTCAGTCTGTCCTCAAATGAAGTTTTGGTGTCAATGTAATATTTGTACATAAATACATAGGTACATAATGTGTTGTTCTGTACATAAAAATCCGATAAATGTTTGGTGTTGTCCCCCATTGTTTATACCAGCCGCCCACAGAAGCCGTATACATTAGAAATATGAGGCATTAGCTGCTTTGTAGAACGCAACCCCTTTACACTACACTATTACGATTTTATAATACAATTTATAGGCAGTAACGACATCGGAGAATCCTTATAAGGCGCAGCTTGTGCATTGGATCTGCCGTAATGAGATTTGTTGCTAAGTAGGTACCGAAGGGTTAACACGGATACTTTAATAAAGTAGGCTCATATACAGAACGGTAGTTAGGTATACCTATCTATAGGTAAATCAGAATCTGTTATTTACTTTTTTGTGCACATTAACGTTTTGTGGAATATATTTAAAAATATGCGTTTTTTGTCCGGGGAATATCATCAAATGACTTCTCCCGCCCAGAGTTGGGAGAGAGAGAGAGTGTCAGACTTTTACTGACTAAAAATTAAACACCCCTGTTCCTTCTCCTGCTCTGGGCCGAGGCCGCGGTGACTCACTGCGCTTAACCCGGAACCCCTGCTGGAAAAACATGCGTGAGGTCTTTTTATCCACCACCGCAATGTTTTTATGAATGGGTGGGTGGATAAAAAAATATACGTATTGTTCCATATTCGAATTTTAGATTTTTTCTTGTTGTTAGATTTACTGCTTTCCATTTTGCCGCGGCGTTTGAGTTTCATCTGTTATTTCTGTTAAATACAGTGCTGTTTTCAGTTACTTATAGGTATCATAGCTTATTGCGACTTTATGGTGGACAAAAACATCGAACAAGCAGCTTGTTTTAATATTGCATAGCCAAAACCCTTATCTCGACAACGCACTCGTAACTCCTTTAATGTGGCGGGTGTCCATGGGCGGCGCTGATTGCTTACCATCAGGTAATTCCTTTGCTCGTTTACCGAACTATACCCTAAAAAATGTTGTGCAGACGGAATTCTTACCCGGAGGTTTAACGCAAAACAAAGTATATTTAGGATTTATGCGGCATTCAAGAGACTTGTAGTCCGAAGATTCCATGCTATATAGAGTCGTACAGGGATAAGGTACAGTATGTCTTTTTTATACCTACGGGAACATATTCCAAGGATGATAAAGGCGAGGGATGTACTGTTGACCCTGATATATGGTTTGTTTTAGGTAATACTTACTACCTAGCAGAACCTATAAAGACCCCGGGATGGCAAAGGTGCAACATAATCCGGGTCTCATCTTGCCCCTAAAGGATCATCTTAGACACCGAGGTGTAAAAGACGATCATTTAAAAAAGTGATAAAAGTAAATAAGTAGATACTAAAACATCTGAAAATATAGAAAAAATGCGTCTGACAAATGTTAAATGTATCTAATATAATTTAAACTACAAGCATTTTCCTACCTAAACTTCACAAATTACTGTATACTTAGATATTGTTTTCACTAAATACAATAAAAACTAAAGGATACCTAAACCAACCCATTCATATTTTCACGAGTCACGACCATGTTTACAAATTTCTTCTCTAGACAATGTCATTCGATTAATAAAGCTATTAAAATAATTGAGTCGACGAAATTACAAAATTCTTTTAGTGCCACACATACAATATCTACAACAGAATTGATAACTATCACGCGACACTCGTTATTTTGATTTCCTTGGTTGATACATTACCTCTTGAAACGAAACGAAATGAAAATGCTTTGATAAATACGATTAATTCCGTATGACTTGTGTTAGTTCGTGTGTACGCAACGTTCGTTTCATATCCCGTAATTGTTTGTTTAAGTGGCGACGTCTAGTGGCGGCTTCGATATCTTTCAGTTGATTGTTGATTTAATTTGGATACTTTGATACCAACTATAGTATGATAGCTTTTTCGACGGCTTTTTTGATTATTAAACAAGTTGCTTATCCTGTTTAAGTATTCATTATCATCAGCCTATAAGTATTCTTTAATGAGGAAAACCTCTTCTCTCATCAAGAGGGTATGGGCATTAATACCAAGCTTGCTCAAATTGGATTGATGATTTCCAAATTTTAATTAGAACACAAAGAACGCCTTCATCGTATATATGTCAGTAGGGTTAAGATAATCTTAGAAAGGACATATAACTTGCAACCAATTTGATTTACACCGACAGGTACCTACAAGCCTGGTCCCGAGCCCGCACCTTCAAAAAAACGGACGCCTTTAACCTCCGGGATTCCACGATTTAGGTGTTAGGTACTACCTTCAATCTAGCTACAAAATAATTTTTAGTTTGAAATTTAACATTTATATGTTTAGGTACAAGTATTTACGGCTTAACCAAGTGATTTAATCGACTTATAGGATAAGCTAGATTAATACGTTTTCGTATCTAGTCTCTCAAAGAATTTGGAGGTCATACTTACTTACGTACCTACGTTGCTTGTACGACATTAGAATAGTTCGTGATTTAGGATGAAATTAGCCTACTACTACTTTCAACGAATGCTTACTACAAATTATAATATTTTTATTATTAATATTTCAATATCTACCTTAAGATTAATGGTATCAACATAATAGAATGCCATTTATATTTTTAGCAAATTATGAAGGTATGTTTTTGTGACTTAAATGAGCCACTTTTATCTATGTCAAGCTTCTGTCGCACGGTTTCATTTGCTGCTCGGCTCCTACAAATCGTAGCATGGTGTTTTAGAGCCTAAAGCCTTCCTCGATAATTGTAAGTACTAACAAACACAAAAATAATTATTCAATTCGAACCAATAGTTCTGGAGTTTGGCGGGTTCAAACAAACAAACTCTCCAGCTTTATACTATTAGTATAGATATCTTTAGTAACATTTAACGCAAGTAGCGCCTGCCAGCTGCGGGACAAAGGTATTGCTAAATAAAACATCGAAGGTATTTCATAAATATTTATATTGAACTGGCCTTAATAAATTACAACTTAAATTCAAACTTATCAAATGACTGACGATACCACATTCAAAGAAATGGTTATTGATAATTTAAATAATAGTCTACATTTACAATACCTAATAATGCTTCCAAAACATTGAAAATTTGATTGACGGTTTAACCGTAGTATTTTGACGTGAAAATTTGGTATTTTATTTAATATTTTACAAGGGTAAGGGGTTGCTTATTCTAAACGCCTAAATAATGTTGTTCACATTATTCAGTCACACTCCAAGTCGTAAGGTATGGACGAATCAATCGTTGCTGACCGCTGTACTCTCTCTTTGGTGTTCTAGCCGTTAAGTCTTCAAGTAACAACGTCACTTTTACATATGAAAACACGCGACTGTATAGTAATAAGTGCTATACCTATCTAAATATAATAAGGTACGTCTGATTTTTACAATAATATATAATTTCACACTTCAATTACATTGATATAAAACACTAACTAACCGCTTTAATTTCACAATCAAAAAATAGTGTTTCAGATTAGTTTTTAGTGCAGTCTCATATTAGACATTAGGTATAGCCTCTAATGAACTATGTCTATATTTTTCGATACCTATAGAACACAACTTATATCTAAAGTAAATGCATTATGAAAAATTATACATTAATAATTGCATTTTGTTTACCTAAAATAGTGACATAAAATTATAATGGTGCGGTGTTGCCATCTTATACAATATCTATATTTTAAGGCTATCCGTCGACTATATTATAATATCAATAATGGTGTAATATATCGTTAAGATGGCGTAAATACTTAGTTTAAACTTTTCTCCAAAGAACGCTTTGTGGTAACAGACCAAATGAGTGGTAACAAGATAATTTCTCGTGTGGTAAACCAATACATCACTTGATATTTTATAAATAATGTTTCCAAAGACATCTAACTCTTGTTGAATATATAATTAGGATACCTATATATATGTATTTAATTGAAAACATAGATTTTATATTACACGAACGACATAAAATGTAAAGAAGAAAATGACACAAGTGTACTTAACAATTCGAGGCCAAGATGTGGCATTTGTTGCACATAAAATGTAATACATAAAGAAATATTGTATGCCAACTGTACGGTAAAAATATACTAAGATATACGACGCCTATTTAGTTCTAGTCTAAATAAATAAAGCGTTTCACACTCGACTAAATAAGACACTTTACTTTGGTATTAATAGACTACATATTACTTACTTACTGTTTACCTGGTTGCTGTCGAACAGTTGATGTACAAACTGTTCCATTATCTATGTTTATATCACTGAGTCAGGGGACGGACATAATAGTGTTTTATACTAAAAATATACACATCTATCAAGCTACAAGTAGGTAGTTCGATTAAGAACCTGGTTAATAAGTAACAACACATTTTTCAGGTTCTACTTAAGGCACTAAAAGGTAACAAATATAATTATTTACAGACAACTCCTATGATACAACCTTCCGATTTATGTAACGCAATAAGTCTTTCTCGTAGCTTTACACTTTAGGTATACTTGTTTTGGGAACTTACGTTAAAAATTTTACGATCTCCTTGTTGTTAGTAAACTGTTTACTAATATGTACTGTGGTACTTTCAATACCAGTTTGGTTTCACAATATTATAAGCAACAGATACTGTTGATGGCGTGCTTCTTATTCTGGATCGAAGACGATTTAATTGGTGACAAGGGGTGTGAGAGGTGCTGGTGATTCGTCGCCGTAATACCTGTAGCGGTGCGGGATCTGCAGGGTGGCAGATGGTTCGGCGACGTCAGAGTGCTGGGAGTCGCGGTGGCGACGCAAGTCCACCTTGCGCTGGAAGGCCTTATCACAGAGCCCGCACGAGAATGGCTTGTAGCCAGTGTGCTTGCGCATATGTGTGATCAAATTAGAACTCTGACTAAACGCCTTAGAGCATACTACACACTTATGCGGCTTCTCACCTGCAACAAGTTAAATATTTTATGAAAAAACTGTATAAATTGAAACTCTATAAATCATGAGTCTACGTTTTGGAGTTGATATTCTCACAGTCTTTACGAAATGTGTTGTAGACCGGCAGGCTTTACCTGGCCCTACATACTTCTACATATGTATAAGCCTGAATGATAATGGGATTGTAATATTCCAATTTCTAATTTATTAACGACTTAAAAACGTTACGTATCACTTCGTGAAGTAATTAAAGCTTGTTTAAGTGGACCAATACTCGTCATAATCATCGGTTATTTATTATTAACGGTGAGGTTTCCGAACTGATTTAATATGCAACGTCGCCTTGTACACCGGTATTTATTAACTTGAACGATAATTGTTTGTAGCTCGATATAACGATATAACACTAACCAGTTTCGTAAAACTTTATTATTCCGTGGGTATGAGGACACAAGGATCTCCATTATTTAGCATTATTTATTTGTGTACTGAATCACATTTCAATGTAGCCGGTGAACTGAACGTTTACTTTAAATCTCCAAAGATAGTTTCCGAACAAAATTATAGCAAAAAATGCAAATGTCATTTTATAGATAGAACAGGATTTAAGTTTACTTTTTGTGTGTACCGCGATCGGCGCGCACGTGAAGGGCTGTGAAGGCTGCGCGGCTAATTGCAGGCCGAGCCGCATTTTGGAATATTGATGATGAGGCATTTATCGGGAGGACGAGCACCATGTAAGGCCGCTGTAAATCATTCGGAACAGGGCAGAGACGTGACGAGATGTCTCCGGCCAAGACAAATATGTCCGCCACATTTTTTAGCTACTATAATTCGTCTCGTTGAGCTTACTGGAAGTAGTCGGACCATTGAAAAACGAATACGATATTTATTTTTCTTACAAGTTGACTGTTTTTAAACAATTCCCATATTCCTTTTGTTTGCTATTTTGATTGAAAATGTTTTCTTGATGTTAATATAAGTGTCAAACGTTAATGTCAAATGTTTCTTAACCGTTACGAGGAAGACCTGTTAAGTACTGTTAAGTAAAGCTGCTTTGGATAGTATATTTTTGCTTATTGGAATTTCATTAAGTGCAGTGGACAGGCTGCGATTTGCCAGCGAAAACGTAATGGTAGAGCATTTAAATATTTAATTCCGAAGGCATCGCCTGCGATGTGGCGCGTGATTGCTTTTATTGTGCCTCTACCTATATGTTTTCCATTTAATGAACTTGTTCCAGTAGAGTAGCCTAGGCCATGCCGCGGTTATAATACTATATCATGCACTTATACAGCTTAATAAATCGACGAGGATAAAGTCGGATAACGTCTTCAGCAGCTGTTTACTGTCATTCCGATTAAAAGGGCAATCGTCGGAGATTACCTATCATTACACGGTGCACACGAACGTACGTGGATATCGCAGGCGACTAATTGAGAAAGTAAAATTTTATGTGAATAAATAAATTAGCAGCTACTTGGTAATGGTACAAATACTTATAAAGGACATGGATTGAAATTATGACGGTGGAGGATTAAATAATGATATCGGATTTCTTATCGTTACAACACATACTATAAAATTTACGTCGTTTAACTAACTTAGACGGTATCCGCGCAATGAACACCTTTTATTAAAGCCTTATTTCATGTCTTCGGACATATCTTCTTTAGAGATTGAGGCAAACTGGTACTATAAGCAGATGTTTATAGATGGGGTAGTAGCAAAGTTATCTTGTTCCACTTTTCAGTTAATAAAGAAAGTTATGAATTTAAATCTTAGTCTTTAAATGTAGAAACTAAAACAAAACCTGTAACATACCTATCTATGGACGCTATTTAATTACTTATTATAAAACTAGTTAAAGTTTTTATTGTTTATAATCTCTTTTTAATACTTGATTTCAAATAAGTTCTGTATTTTATTATACAGAACTTATTTGAAATCAAGTATTGGTTGGTAGGTTGTATGTTGTAAAACATAAAGAAATAAAAGTAATTTTCTTTGTGTTCTCCATTACCCTTCATATGTATTGTCAAGTTTGTTAGAAAAGCGACACATTTAAAGTCCGGTTATCGAAACTATAACGATATCAAGGTAGCAATAAAAGTTTCAAACGAAATGATAGGGCTGCGTAAAGTTGTGTAATGAAGGGACGAGCTGACACTTCAGTTGACGAGTTACGTGAAACAGTTGTCACAATAATTTGAGTTTCACACTACTTGGAACAAGGTATATAATTTACTGACTGTCCAAACAACAAAGTGTTAACGTTAAAACACACCTTAGATTTGTGTCGTCACTTTACAGTACGAATGTCTTCCATTTTTTTTAATAGGAAGGTACATTCTCTTTTTTGTCGTTTGTGTTTTGGAATTCACTTTTATTGTATGACCATTTTGTTTTAGTCAAATTAAAAGTTTGATTTTACTTAATTACGTGTAACAAAATTCTATTAAAAAGAGCTTTATCAAAACCTAACTTATTGAGGCTACAGCTAGACTATTCTATCTAAAAATAAATATATATAGTTATTGGTTTCACGAAGGCGCTATCACTTCAATTGTAGGTCTTGAAAAAGTGAGTATTTTAATGCCAAAAAACGAAAATACTTATAAACACTTTTACTTAAAGTCCTTGAGTACATTTAAACGAAAATGTTTTGCGCAGTTGGAAAATGCAGCATATACGAACGTACCTACTTTATTTGTATAAAACACGTGTATATAAGTAGGTACACTTAACAGCTTTAATTTGTGATGAAGTCCATTATTATTTAATAAGTAATAGGTAGACTTTGATTATTAATATGTCTAGATAGAGCGTCAAGTGCGCGCAAACGTGTCAAAAAGTGTCGGCCAACTGTTGGCCGACAGTTGCTTACCCGCCGATCAGTACATATCGTGTCGCTCTATTGTCACTACGCATGACGCGCGCTATGAAAAAAACTAATAACAGCGATAAAATGACGGTATGTGCTATAAAAGTCTGCCGGAATTATAAAGGAAGGGCAAGAAATACCAAACACCTCACCTATCATCAGTAAGTAGCCAAGAAAATTACATATATTTAATTTTCGTTTTAATGCTTACCAAATGACGCCATATTTTTTCGTCTTATCAGTGTTGCCAGTTTCTGTTTTTCATTCTCCCAACTTAACGGCATTTTTGTGGGTAAATATTAGTTTGTTTTTGGTTACGTCTACACAATTTCGTTCATGTACTTTTTAAAGTTTTACTGGTCAAATGCAAATTGAACTCGAGTGCAAAGGGTTCCCGACAAAAACATTTTTTAAATATCACTTTTTAAATCGTATATTTTCCTAGAATCTATGGGTACATATTATCTGTAGTATATTTTCTTAATTTTAGGCCTAATAATGTCGGAGATAAGGCGATAAATTATATAATAACTTCTGAACAGACTTTTTTCTTTATTACCCGACTTCCAAGAAGAGTTATGTTTTTTTTCTCGCGTATATCCTACTATAATAATAAATGCGAAAGTTTGTATGTTTCTTTGTTTCTCCTTCACGCAAAAACTGCTGAACCGATTTTGATGAAACTTGGCTTATACATCAGAATAACATACAGGCTACTTTTTATACGGGTGCGCGATGCAAGTAGAACCGTGGGAACAACTAGTCGTGTATATGTATGAGCGTAATATTCTTTATTACCTCATATTTTTGAAACGATATATATAAATATTATTGCGACACCTTTTCCCGACGCTTTATTCGCCCGACGTTTCGGGCGAGTCCACCCGTCACCACGGTCAGTGCAATTCGGCCGAAACGTCACGTTGGGTAAAGAAAAAGGTATCGTACCATTTTAGTAATAATATTGCGAATAAGTCCCGATTTATACAAATATTGTAATACTTGTATAATTTACCTAATTGATTTAATTACAACATTCTACCACCCAATTTTAATTAAATAAGTGTCTTTAATTTATTTAAAACAGCAACAACTTAAATATAAAAATACACTAAAACTGAATAACACTAGGTACATACATACATACAACCCTAAAGTTTTTTATTTATTCTATTTTTAATGTTATTTATGGGAGAATTTGTAGTAGCTGGTATCATTATTCCGTATTGTTTACGCACACAAAGACATAGACACGCAGTGTAAAACGACGCCTGCACGCACACATGCTTGAAATAGTTGACTCGTTTTCTTTGTTATGATTGTAGGGCGACAGTCCATCTAGACATATTAATAATCAAAGTAGGTAGAGTTAAATTTAACAATGCTTTTCTGACTTTAGTGAAAAATTGACGATTACAGGGTTTTTCCGACTCAAAAAAAGATTTAAGATTTTTTTTAAACAATCAGATTTACATGTTTATTAATTATGATATGTAATCGTCTTTTTAGAAAATGTTATAATGCGCCCTCTTCTCTGTGTAGTTACTGCGGTCTGTCAGCGTCTGTAGTTGTGTCACAGCAGAATAAGTATGATGGATGACTAAATCTGTACGAACCTGTGTGTATGTAGGTATGCTTCTTCATGTCAGACTTCTGGTGGAACCGCTTGCCGCAGTACTGGCAGGGGTAGGGCCGCGTGTCCGAGTGGATCAGCAGGTGAGTGGACAGCGTGCTCGACCGCTTGAAGCACTTCCCGCACTGCTTGCACTAGACAGACAAACCACCGTAAAGTTATTATACGGACAAATACAACCCTCTAATAAAGCAGTATTTATTAGATACCCGTCGCCTGCTACTCTTTGATGATAATAACCCTTAATAGCTCCCTTTGAGTGACGTGTCGTGTATTGCAATTCTGTATCATTTGACCCCTACAATTGCCAAGAAATCGGGTGAAGTATGGCAAAGTGCGACACTAGATATAATTATAAACATGGCGCGGACAGCGTCCATCACGTTCAGTTGGACGGTGACAGCTAGTAATAAACTAATAACAGGGCTCTACCCCTTTCTACACTTTTCTTTGATTTCCCATCTAGCATCAGCTATGAAATTTTTTTTCATTGCCTAGTAATTAGCGTTTATTAACCAGTTATTACCCGCAGCTATTTTTCACGAGAACGACTTATTAAATAATAAATACTTTGAACGGAATTAAATATGGTAACTACGATACAATTATGTCATCTATTGATTTTTGTTACAATACAATATGACTTGAATGGTTTTCACAAGGTAAGGTGATAAAATTACAAATTACTAATGATGCTATTAAACTTAATAAAAATCCTGTAGTTCATTTCCTGGAATACGTAGCACTATTTTGATTTACCAAAATAATTATATAACTATTTGGAAAAAATGCATTGCATTGAAAATACTAGGCATGTAGTCTGTTCAACTACCTACTATGCATACTTCTAACGTTCTTAAAATTCATATCCGTAAAACATAATTAGTATTTAAGCTCCATACGGACCACGACAAGCAAACACCGTTTTATTATTTTGTGAGACAAAAGATTTATTACAAAGAACATAGTGTAACTTAGTTTTTGATTTATTTAATCAAGTGTTTTTGGTATGCAATAGAATAATATCGTTACCAACATTGTTTATCATACAGAGACCCAGATTAGGAATGTTACATTGTTTGAAATGTTTCACAATCCAACGTTTATTGTTATGTAAGTGCATGTATTTGAGAGCTTTCTAAAACTCACCATTTTAATCTTATAAAATAAACAGAAAGTGCTGAAGAAATAAGAAGATAGCCGATTATGAAGTAATCAGGGGTCAAAGGAAACAATGGATTGCCCTCGTTACTGTGTCGCAGGATGATGACTATAAAATATAAGAACCGGAAAATATGGTGTACGGCTATTAGTCGGGTGGTTAGTCGTTAAGTATGCGGCGCATGGTAATCCATGGCACAAATCCGCGTAGCGGGCCCTGTGACAGTTGGCCGGGCAGCTGCACCGCCTCGCGCCTCACAAAAACCGCTACTTTTTTGGTCGCCTTTTTATACAATCGATGCACTCTCTTATAAACAACACAGGTGCTAGGGTATGACCGTCCACATATGGTTATCGGTTTGTACCACGTAGAGAGGTGATTTTTTATGAAAGCCGTTTGAATTTAAACAATCTAGTGTCGTTTTTTACGAAACTGGCTTTTTATTAACGGCTTCGATGAACCTGCTTTCCCTAAGGTTGTGGTAAAAACTGAGGACTGTTATTTCACAATAACAGTTTTTTAACTATCACAGTTTGTTTTGTATTATTAAGATTCTAAAGGTTTGCTGTATTTTGATGTTAGTACTGAAAACTGCTAATACAGTAATTAACATATTTACTTAATACGTACATTCATTACTTTGTTATTGAGTAACGAAAGACAAAACTCTTTTATAGGTTGATTAAGATACAATATTAGGTAAGTATGTAAACTGAAAGTGAAATTGAAAAACAAGTTGGTAAGCTCAAAGCGGTTAGATGGTAATTACTGTATCTACTCCTCTACAATTATTTTGTGAACTACAAATAATTATAATATGAATGAACAAAGGAATATTATTGATAATTTATTGATGTTAGGTACTTAAACAACCCTACGGTAAAACTTAGGTTTTCAATTATAACTTAAATTTATGTCGTGATAAGTATTATTTTATGTCTATTTAATTATTATTAAGTTGTGCATTTAACGTTATAAAGTTTCAAGTCGTGGCGAGGCAAGCGACGACGCGTGAGTGGCGCGTGGCTCGCACGCGCCGCCTTGTGAGCAGCGAGCTCCGACCGCCTGCCATTGTTTTACAACGTGCACATAAATTAATGTGATCATAATTACGATTTATTGTTTCGCCATAAATTACTAATTAATCAATACAATACAGACAATCACATAAATGGCCTGTACATTTTTTGTAAGAAAAAATATGAATATTATAATTGCTGCGAATCGTCCTCGAATAATATTAATACCATTGCATCGCAGGTAATTAAATAAACTTTAAGTCTTATCACCTCTGTACCTCATCAGCGATACAGGTAGTAGTCGTGTCACTTTCAATTGGGCACGGGTCGTCATCGATGATACCTAACAAACGCTCAACACTTTATTTAAATGATAAAGTGTGGCTTTGCGCAGTGGCTCGACAACATATTTATCGGCGTATGACACAAGGTAATTACTCGTCCAATTATAAACTGCGCGCTGTGATATTAAAAGTTGGAATTTTGATTAAAACCGATGCGGATTTTTATAACGGCGGCACGTAGAAAAAACGAAAGGCACAAAAATGGCGAGAAGACGAGCAAGCAGGCTTCATGTGAGTCGCTAGCGGACGACGCGCCTGCGCCGGCGCATCGCGCGACCCGTTCCGATACGCGACTACTTATTAAGACAGGGGCAGTTTTTGCTATTTGATTTGTTAAAGAGACTAAAACTGATACTGGTTTGCTATTTTAAAGCATTTTGAACGGAAACTGTACAGTTATTCTGAACTTGTTAAGGGATATGGGTAAGTATCTATGTGTCTCGAAGCTGCGCATTTAATTTTTATGCTATTGATTTTTAAACACTCACTTGGAATGATTTTTCATTTCTGTTTTCATTTTTGAGGAGAAGAGAGAAATTGAGATCTGCTGTTGGTGAAGGTTTGATTGGGTAGGTCTGATGTGCGGGTGCTGAGGGGCATCGTCGCGGCTCTGTACTCGGAGGACGTTCAGCTTCATCAGGATTGCTGCGGCACCTCTTGACCAGTTCGAGAGGTGCGTCGGTCTCATCATGTTCCCATCGGGAAATTGGCGATTCTTCTCCAATTTCTACTTTTTCGCGTTCACATGCGCTTCCTGGTGACCATATTTGGCGATTTTTTGTCGACAAATTGAGAGGTAGCTCTTCCTCGTCATCTGCAACAAATAATAAATTGTAACAACTTGCATGAGTTTAGGAAATGTATGATTGTTGTGTACGATACTGTGTCAATAGAATGTTAGGTGTCGACAGTTTCACTTCGACTGTTCTTCACGCTTTTAATAAGTAAATTTAAAGTCGGACGAGTCAAATCGGTCGTCTGTAGAGTGACTTATGAAATCTGTACAGGTGCGCCCGTATTTACCGACAGTTACGTCACTATTTGCTTTTCAATACATTAAAAACTTGCATACAGTTTGCTCTTGTCTACATTCACGGAAGATGTAATTATATTTGTAGGTACCTTAACAACGTTGATATTTATTGAATGTTAAACAAAGCACATGTTTTGTATATAATATAGGTACTGCAATATTCAATTTTTTTTGACGGTGGAAAATAATCAATTTCTTCTCTGGCTCTGCGTGGGATGAAAGAGAGAGTCAGACTCTTACTGTCTTCCTATGACTATTACGCATGACCCACAACCCCAGCTGTGTGTTTCCATATTAAGTGAATTCGTTGTAATAACTTTGATCGAGACGGAAAATGTCTAATTTTATACCGGGACCAATGTCAACAGTATTCGGGGATATGTGACACGTATAAAAGAAAATTGTAAGTAGGTACTTATCAACACTCAGTAATAAGGTTATTTTGAATTACAATATCATTTTGAAGTTTTCAGCTGCAAATTCACCTTGCTATCTCACTTTCTACTATAGAATAAATTTGAATACAATTCGTATTTCAAAACGACACATCGTCGCTTAAATTGCTTTAAAAGTTGATAACAGACAACGTTTCCATTGTTCTTAATTAAATCTTTAAAAATAATTGTCGTTATCGAAAGCAATTAAACAGTTTGAAATATTGGTGTCGAGTAACTAAATAAAAATCAAGTACTTAATAAGGTTCTAACGCCCGGTTTGTTTGTTATCGGCGAGGTTGAGTCGTAACCGGTTTACGCGGATAAGAAACAATTAGAATACTTAACATTTTCGTTTGGCGACAATGAGTAGCTGTGGTACTTAGTCGCTTATCCTTGGAGTGTAGGATACGAGCGCGGCTGCCGCTGCTTCCATTGGCGGAGGTAAACGACATGTAAACGACGACATATCGGCGGCCCGAGTTATTAATCGGTGCCTTACACTGATAGCTATTCTAATGAGTATTATTCAGGAGAAGCCGCGTAAGGAGGCCGAGGCGAACGATGTTTTGTAATGCCGCGAACGTATCTAATTACCATTTTTAGGATTCTTGAAACACGTAAACACTTTCAGAGCGAGCTGATTTACTCTGTTTATATGAATTCGAATGTGACGACATACAACACGTCGGATTAAACAAACATTAATTCGCCAGACTTTGATTTAAGCGTTCGTTTGATTTATAGTAATTGCAAATATGTAGGTCAGTACTCATTGACTGAATATGAATTACAATGAAATGCTTCAAGACTTACGAACAAATATATAGGTACGAACGTGAAGTGCTTGTCATCTAATAACAACTGCATGTCCAGACACTCAGACACATTGTTCTAGAATAAAACTGGGCTAACTCTGACTCATAATTGATTTAAAAAAACTTAAACACATAAGTATAATACAGTACAGTACATATGAGAATATATGTACTCATACTTATGTATATTTTCTTATTGATATATTATGAGCTCCTTTATTTTGTTCTGTGAGTTTTACATTTTGATAAGTGTTTACAAGAAAACTTTGAGCTAACTTTTAGCTAAGCTGAATTTAGCAGAAGCTTTTTTTCAGTAAGATTTTTAAATAAGAATTTCGATCCTATAAACATTATAGCACGGTCCAATTTGGCAAAAAATTTGATAATCATTACTTTTAAAGGTGCAAGTGCTTATAGGTAAATTAGTTATTTACCATCTCTGGGTGGTGTATGTCTGGCGTGGTCGATGGGTGGACGCACGAACGGTGGTGAAGCGCGTGGCATCAACAGCGGCCAGACTCCAGCACCGCTGTACAGCGCTCCGAGACCACTGCAGTACATCAGAGCTCCCAACTCTGTTGGCAAAATACTAGCTGGTAACCCAAGATACAACAATGTATGTACATTTTTTATGGGATAAACGCGCCGCAACTTGTAACCCTGGATATGCAGTAGATACAACTAGCGCGTCCCAGGGACATGAATTACTGTCACGGATCCCGCAACGAAATGAATCAGAAGAAATCACATATTTAAGGATAAGAAAAACAAAATAGTATCCACTTCTCTCAGTAAATTTTATGCAGGAGACAGAATGACTTAAGACTTAAAGGCACAGAAGAAACTGTACAACTGGGAGAAGCCCAGTCACCAAACACCACAAAAAAATGTGTACCATATTTTTTTTTGTATTGGGACCTATACGTGTGAGCTGCCATAGTTGTTTCCAGTACAGAAGTAGCTACTTACCCGTAGCCCGAGCGTATTGTTTAAGTGCTCTCCCAGCAATTTCTATGTCACCCAACTGAAGTAAGTCTAGTCGATGATGTGAGAGAGAGTCGGGCGAGCGCGGGGGCGAACGTGGCGATGGTGGGGTGCGGGGAGAGATACTGCCTTCTGGAGACGGGAACCGGTGAGCTGGTGGAGGCGGCGAGGATGGCTGAAACTGCTCCGCCAGCCGCGACAGCAGGACGTGCCGAGACATCCTGTACAAACCAAATGAACCTATAAGTAAATATTTACTAGAAACACCTATGTATATAAGTATCCACAAACAACTAATCCAGAGATTAGCCATACTTCGAGTTACATGTATTATACAAAGAATCAGTACTTCGATGAAGCCAAAAGAATGAGTTTACTTAGATTTAAGCCACGTATTTGCAATAAACTCTAAGAAATAAACCTCGTAAGTTACTTAAAGAAAGTAATTTGAACAATATAAAAAGTACCAGATAAGTGAATGGCTTTTGTTTTCACGCACTACCTTAACAATGTGAATACGTTACGCATACAGATTCGCTAACAATTAACACCTTCAGCTCAATTTTATGTTCCATTTTGCATCCAATTAAGGCAAACCTGAGCTTTGAATTGTCATTGACTATTACAGTGTTATCGATCGATCGCAGTGCACCGTTCTGCTTTCCCGTGGGAATCTTCAGTTTTCTGAAGAGCTTAAGGTACGTATAGCTATATAGCTTTGTAATAAACTGCATTATAAATTACTGAATGATTATTTTATTTTTAAAATGACACAATTATTCATTCATAAAAAAACTCAAAACCCGTTAAGGAAAAACTGGATATCACAAGGATTACTCGTTTGTGAACGATGCTGTGTTTAAAGTCAATGGCATCTAGATATTTTCCAAGGACACACACTAAATCTTTAATAATACTCTTACCACCTCCAGGTACTTGTATCGAATACCTACCTACTTTGTATGTAGCCGAGAATGACGCGGTAAATATTAGATTCTGACTACTAAAATATAAATGTTATTTATTGTCTCACTTTAAGTAACATCATACTAATCCATATTTTCTAAACGATAACGTCATTGTCAGACGCCTTGTCCATGAAGACAACTCAATATGAGGGTAAGTACTGCGTTTATCAAGATTTTACGGTCAGCGCGGATCAATTCAAAAGTTGCGATATCATCTTTGTTTTACGTGACCGACGTCATTAGTGTCCATCCGACTACGTACATACGTATTTGTTGACGGCCCTTGCTGATTAATCCGACCGCTTGTTTGTTGACAGCGAATCGTATTAAAAGCTCAATCAAGCAAATGAAGAATCAGAATAATGGAAGTGGTCGGCCGAGCGAGCGTTGCGTACGCGCATTAATAATGCACGTGTCGAGTAAAACAATCTTCATTACACTAACACACATTACATATTTACAGAATGGATGTCCGCGTGTTCCCATACCATTCCGCCGCGCTTCCATTAGGAATTAAACTCGAAGAACTCGCGCCACCGATGTAGGTGGAGACATTACATTTGTCCCCGTAAATTGTAAATAATGATGCCGGACAATGATTTGCCAAATTTCCTAATTACAATAATGTCCATAGAGAACAATTAATGAAAAGTATTCGTGTAGATATCAATCACATCAGCGGTACCCACGGAGGGGCAGTTTAATTTTCTTGTCTTACAAATGCAAACCATTTGATTCGTGCTATTACTGCTAATTGAGTAACAAGCCGACTAACGCGAGGGTTGTGTGTCGCAATTTCTTGTTTCAATAAAGCCAAGCTTTATTTATTAGCTCGTGAGTAGCAATTACCTACTACGCGACGACTACCACCTATTTTTTCCTTACGCTACAGTGGGAACTCGAGCAAATGTTAAGAAAATCAATCAGCGCAAAAATCGTCATGAAAAAAAAAATACATTTATGTTATCTTTATTTGTTCACGACTATTGTTTCTAGTGAATCTCATAATAAAGACACCTGCGTGTATGATACAAAGCGCTGCCGCCTTATGTTACCGCGTTTGATAGAAACAGGTGTTTTTGAAAAAAGATTTAATCAAAATTCAACCTACTATTTGAACAGATTTCTATAAATATCTGGTCATCAATGTCAATCAATGTTAGGTTGAACAAAGTAGGCTACAACACATTAAATAATTACACTTTGAGCCCACACACTGAGTGCTGCACTTAATATTAGTATACAAAGGTTCGTAGCCTGCCGATACGGGCTGAAAATTAATAATTTCATCGATATTCGTGGTTCCGGTATCACTGAGCAGGTTGCAAAGTAAATTGCTTTGTTCTCATGTAATTAAAATGAGCGTTAAAGTGACTGATGTTTTTTAACCCCAGTTATTATTTTATCTTTAAACATTTTATATAACTAAAATTATCGTATAATCTGTAGATGGTTTTGCTTTAAATCATTGAGCACCTTTAAAAAAAAACATCAGAATATTTAGCTTCAATGACTCTAACAAAATACCGATTCATTTGTGAACCGAAAATATTGAAAAGGAGACATTGGTTTATCCGTTCGTTCTTATTAAATTCCCCTAGTTGTTTATACTTATTGAAACACATGTACAAATTTGGTTTCGTCGTGTTTGTTCACTGCTATGAGGATATACTTGCAGATTATTTGCATGGCACTGCATCCACCAGATGTATGGTTTAGCGACGACGTGTACAGAAGGTAAATTGATTAAACAAATATAGACGTGAACAAATATGAGAAAAGTAGGACTTTATGCAGGCCGCGCTCAGTTCCTACATTTGAGCACGATATCAAATATTTTCAGTTAAATTTAAAAGTTACACATAAATGTGTTAAATATGTTTTATTGCGTAATAGAATTGAGAAATTCTTTATGATTGAATTGTTGATGATATAGTCCGCTACGCATTTGCACCTACTTAGTTAATTAGAAATTAGTTACATATGTATTTATTAATACATATACAATTATACGTATGATTATTTATTATTTTGAATACCTGCTATAAAATGAAAACATGTTCTTATTTGATATCAAACAGCTATCTAAAGCGATACAAAAATATAGGCTACAATTAGGTATTTAATTAATGCTAGCTACGAATGTAGTAAAATAGTATGAAATGTTCTTTGTAACACTCAAATAATTTATAAATCACCGATATATGTCTTAAAATACTGGGTAATCTGTTAGGTAAATACTGAAAGTTAATTAATGGAGATAAATAAATACCAAAAATGTCAAAACTCACCTCAAAAGGAACTTGTTAGGTGCTACGAAAAAATATTTCACTCACTGCTACGAAACACTGTTCTACGCGCAAAAGATTTTTTCAATCAGTCCAATTTACACCATACATGCAAAGTCATTTTATTTTGCTAAGAATAATTAAATAAAATTAAATAAACGCAGCGAACGATATGACGTCGCGAAAATCGTAAGGCTGCGTAGGACCGGACCACGTCACTGTCTGGCACGGTGCGTCGCGTTTGGCGCCTGGCACCTGACTGAAATAAGGCTCGCGCGCCCCGACCTACCCGACTGCTCTTCCACAATAACGTATTTTTTTCAAAACTCTGCTAACAAAAAAGAGGTCGGACGGAGGCTGAGCAATAAAGAAATGATTTGATGAAACAGGCACTTGACAGGTGGCTCGCGTCGCATCCTCGCATGCAGCACTTAATTGTTGGTTGCGCTTACGTTGACGGCGCAGAGGATGCACTGAAAAATGGCTTTTAAGTATTAATGCCTACAAATAAGCGGTTGCTCCCTATGTGACATTAAAACCCTTGCATTAAAAATTGCAATAGTTAGTTGCGTAGACCGGTCTGCTCCTGAGGATGGAGTATCGGGTTGGGCATAGGTTCCTTGGCGAACTATTTACTAATAAATACTCGGTACCGCGATTTGTGCCTAAACTGAGATTAACTAAATGTACGAGGCTTAGATTTCTCGTAGCGGTGCGCCCCGCCCACCGCGCGCTATTGGCCGCCATCTAGAGCTGGGCGGAGCGTTGCTTAGATACTAACTTAGAAGCCTTTTTAACGTCAATCTAATATTATTTATTTACAAAACGATTCATTCATTTAGTTTCGAGCTTTAATGAAAATTAAAATATGATGTAAACTTATGACGTATTTTGTGGGATCGATAATTTTACAATTCATTAATTGACCATAATTTATTTTCAGCTCTTGTTTCGACTGTCGGTGAAAGTTTTGATTTACTATAGGTACGTAGTAGTGATTGCTATTTACCGCGTAGTTTTCTATTTTTTAAACGGTTTCGGCGATTTATTTATACGTTTGAAAGAGGAGGAAACGTTGAATTCAAACATTTTCTTAGTAAATACGTTTTCTGATATTGATTTATTCGGTGGATTTGTGATAAAAACGCATATTTTTTAAGTTTGAATTGCTCCAAAGTGGAAATTTCAAATCAAATGTCAATGGTAAGTCGGCGCGCCCAATCTCCATAGAGATACGAAAAGGTGAGCACGAAAAGGACAATAGCATTTCGGACTTTACGGAACCCATACATTACTAGTGCTCATTCACGATCGATGTTTGTTAATCCTTTCTTGAAAATAACGTTTACAGTTTTTCTGCTATCCTTCTATCGTCTGTCCACATTCGTTTGTAAATATTCTTGCATAGAGCGGACACGTGAGACCACTGTTAACATAATATTTTTATCCGCTAGCATTGATGAAGTTGAGGACTCTTGAAGTTAGATATTGTATCGGCCTGGAGCAGGAAAAGGGATAGGATGTTTATAGTCACTAAGAATTTGACATTCCTTATCGCCACAGCCTAGGCGAGAGAAGTCATTTAATGATTATCCCTCCCTAAAAAAAAGATAAAATGCCAGAAGCAGACTGTGATTGATCTGCCTCACATTTCTAGATGGGTCGCCTAAGCACATCTTCAATATTCAAACGAACTGTAATAGGATCATAATTGTTTGTTTGTTGTAAGTAATTAACGTTTCCAAAACGTTTAAATTAAGTGATTAATGATAAAGTTTTAATTCTCAGCTTATTAGAATATTGTCTTTCATTAATCACATTTCCAGCTGATCAAGCGATCGTAATAACAATCTCGGGAAATTCAATTAGGTGGATAATCTGCTTTGGTTGCTACGTGTTTCGTTACACGAGGAAACGTAAGGCTTCAGGTGGGGGAAGTGCTTCAGCGAGTGCAGGCCGGGGGAGGGCGCGTGCAGTGCGGGCGGGAAGGGCGAGGAGGGGTGGCATGGGGCTGTAAACATAACGGCGAGCGCGTGTCAGGGCGCGGGGGGCGCGCGTCACGGCCCGTTAGCGCGGATCCTCGGCGCGTGCACATGTCGCCCCGGCACGCGCCCGCGCCACTTTTTATCCTTATTTTTTTCTGTTGCCGTTTTTGTTTTCTCCCTTTGTTCGAAATACGAATTAAAGCCTCTATTTCGATTTCTGGGTGAATTAATGAAGCCGGGTTTAAGATATCACGATTGTACGTCCGATAAGATTTTGTTATTCATTCATAGTCCGTCGTGAGTTTAATTTTGGGTAGCTTAAAATTTTAGAAACCTGCCGATTATGTGAGCGTTCGTAATAACAATAAAATTATTTTAAAATAGATATAATCTTATGGAGAATTCAATAAGGTTTATTTATTTTAGTTATTTGGCGGTTATCCGTTTAAGTTGGCGATTTATACTTAGTTAGCGCATAAATCAAAAAGAAAACAGGTTGGTATTTGTGTCGGTTGGAGATATATGTACATTAATGTGGATAAAAACTATGCAAATCCTTAAACACGTTCATAAAGTATGCGAGTACACGGTTGATAGATAAGTAAATCAAAATAAAACAGTTGAAGGGCAGATACGTATGTTTCAGCTGCAGGCGTGCAGAACCGGTCAGAGGCGCGCGGCGCTGCGGTGCTGCGCTGGCGGAGCGCAGGCGGCTGACGCTGTCGCCGTACGCCATTCCTTACAGTCAACTTTTATTAATTGGGCAGATGAGAGCCACGGCTTCCATGATGAATGCTTATCCCTTATACGGCCAGCAGTTCGCGAAACCTTTTATAGATTCTCAATTAAAAGTGTCTATTATAGTTAATAGGACGATCAGACATTGCAGCGTTTATAGGAACAAGAATATTTGCTTTAAGTAGGTATGTATAAAAACAGGTAATATAACGGAAAGGACGATTAAGTGGAATAAAATATAGTGTAGGGGTGCGGGTGGCAGGTGGCTGCGGCTTAGGGATGCGCCCATTGTTACGACTTAGATATCGATATACCGCTGATTTTGTGGCATGGTCTACTTTGGCGTTGGTTCATTCGTTTAGCTGTTAATGAACTTATTTTTTTACTTTGAAATACGCATTTATGAATTTGTTACATAAGCAAATATAAACTATTTTCATAAAAGCTGTTTTTTCGTTGAATTGGTAGGACTGTGTTCTACAATAATACATATAATACGCCACGCATATATATGGAATTTCAATCATTTACGTAGGTATGGTGTAAATGAAATTAAATGATGCGCTTTATGGAATCCTAATGAAGATGCTGGTATGTTGTTGCTATTTAATGTCGTGTTTCACAGCTTGTATTTGTAACCGAGTGTAGGTTACATTCAGTAAGCAGTCACTAGCTTATCTAGTAGCGTTCTTTGCATTCCTCTATGTGACTGTTATTTAAAGGCTTTCTATGGGGCATGGAGTTTAAAATTATCATTCCTTACAAGATAGAAGTGCGTTTATGGTCTATTAACTATCTAAGTCAATGAAAGAGATTGGTAGATATTTCAACCTAGTTTAAAAGCTATTATTACTATTTTTCAAATTTGGAACATGTGTTATTGATATAAACTTTTCTAATAAAAAAAATCTAAGTTGTCGATAACTGGAATCTAAAGGCGTCGTGTCTAAGGCGCACCCCAGTGTTGAAGACAAGATTCAGCACGCGAGTCAGCGCGCTGCCTGCGCCCGCGCCATGTGTCTTTAACGGATTTATTGGAACGCCTGCGCGTGCGCGTCGCGCGGCGGCTACTAGAGTGCACCTTCTTTATTTACCGCCTACGCGAACACTTTCTCTAAGGATTCTTTGATAAAGAAAACGGCAGTTAGCGTAAACCGACACCCTATGAGCAATATCAGCTAAAGCTCTTTTTCCATGATCCATGCTCGGATTTGAAATACAAATGCTATTAAATGATGAATGAATGAGAATATCGATTGGTTAATTTAACATTCAGAAACAAAGACTGTAAACCACATAAGCACCCTACTGTGGTCTTTATCAAACTGAAAGTAATGCACAAGATTATTATTGACAATAATTATAATTAAGTATCTAGTCTGCTCAATAATATATAGGTATATAAGCTAGCCGAGAAAACAATATGAAATAAAATATATAGGTGATAATGAAATCTGTAGAAGGTTGCATGCCACTTGTTATAAGTACTTATGTGTGCGTGATTTATTTTAAAGTTCAAAAGAATGGAATTCCTGACAATCTGTGTAACATTTTGTGGTCTAAACACCCGTTATGAAGAAAAAGTATCAATTTGCATATCTTAGCAGTTGGGGGCCTACAGTTAGGTGGCGACTGCATGGAGTCATATGGCGGGCGCTGGCTGAAACCGTAAAAGCTTGCGAAGTGTGCGCATGCGCACAAAGCGTATTGTGGCGCGGGCGCAGCGTGGCATGGACGACACGCCCGCTCATTACTGCGAAAAACAGCGCTCCTCTCCGCTAATTGCGATTATTCTCTCGCGCTCCCATATTGAGTAAGCACATGTTCCCGCAGCCGAGGCCGCGTACTGCTGCTATGTTGCGGTTTGCGATTACTGCGTGTGTAATTGTGTAATGAGTGCACGAGTCCTCAGCAAAAACTCACATTTCAGATATTCGTATTTATACAGCTTTTATTAATAAATTATTATAATATTAAAGATACAGCATTTAGGGTTTGCGGTAACGACGGCTGAGCGCGAGAGTTTGCGTGAGCGCATAAGTAGGGCCTTGCAATCGCGTCTATGGTGTTTTAAAAGAACAGACGCATTCACTTGACTTTTGATTATTGGGAGCTATCAGAGGCATACACAGGCATGCGTACGTGTATTCTTTGACAATTTAATAGCATATGCGCTTGCACCTGCCATTGCAAAAAGTAGGCGCACGCTTCAGGCAGTGAAGCGCGGAATTCGTCGCCGCGGTCGTCCTCTAGCCTATCTTATACGCTATTTATTGGTAATTGATTGGAAAGGTGCATTAAGCCCCCGTGATATGTTTTTATAACGTTTACCATACTTG